CTTAGAATTCCATGTAGTTGTGCGACATGCTTTTAAATTTTTAAAAAACCAAAAATGCTGATGCGGGCAGGAGTCGAACCTGGGAGCGGACTAGAGACAAGAGCGGTCGCACTGCGCCTTCTAAAAGAGCGCCATCGCATCGCCGAGGGGTTAACGCGCGCGTCTCTCAAAAGAATGGAAGATAGAGGTCACGGGTTTGACTCCTCTTGTCGCCAAATTCTTTTGTTTTTTCTCGAAAAGCTGGTATGTAAATACACCGAAAGAGCCACTTTTTGCCATTCGATTCCAAGAGAATTCCAAGCGTTCTTTCTTTAGATAAAGATCTTGCGGCTTTAAATTTAATTTTGAATTAAACTTTGCTCTTAAATGTAAAAAGATAGAGGTCACGGGTTCGACTTCTCTTGTCGCCAATTCTTTTGGCTTCTAAATCTCTTCTAAAGCACTGGATACATTATCGGTATCGAAATAGATCCACTTCTCATCTCCAGTAACGAGAGAATCAAAAAAGCCATGTTCTTTAGCGTGGCGGATGAGGATTCCGGCAATAGCGACCCGTGAAGCCTTGTTTAAGCCTTGTTGCACTGCTTAACTCATGATGAAGCCATTTCCCGCATCTGATCGTCTTTCCAATGGCGTGGAGATGCTGATCAATGGTAGAATTTGAATATAGAAACTGTTGAGCAAGTTCACGTCCAAGTCCAAGCGTTCTATAAAGAAATTTTGAATTAAACTTTGCTCTTAAATGTAAAAAGATCTCTTCTAAAGCACTGGATACATTAATTTTCTTGTAGCAACGGTTTGTTGAAGAATTTAGGGCACTAGAAAGAGTGTGTTTTGAATTGTTGAGTAAAAAGTACAATTTTCGAACCTTTTCAAACCTTTTCAAACCCTTTCAAACCAATCCTTTAAACAAATATGTCAATCAAATCGTCAAATCATCAAAATCAAATCAAAATTGTCATTTATCAACAATTTTCTAAGATCATTGATCACTAAAAGAATTTAATCAGTTAAGTCTAAAAGAGCAATGACAATCAGACAATAAGAGATCAAGTTTAAAGCAGATTTTTGTTTTTATTTGTTTCAAACGATTTGTTTTCACAATTTTCACATTTTCTTACTGTAAAACTGTAAAACTTTTGCTTTCTAAACTTTTTAAAACATAAAGCTCAATTCCAATAGCCTTTAATAGCTTTTAATAGCTTTGAAAAGCTTTGAAAAGCTTTTAATAGCTTTCAATAGCTTTCAATAGCTTTCAATAGCTTTCAATAGCTTTCAATAGCTTTCAATTGAGCTTTAAAACATAAAGCTCAATTCCAATTGCTTTCAATAGCTTTTAATAGCTTTCAATAGCTTTTAATTGCTTTCAATATCTTTCAATAGCTTCCAATAGCTTTCAATAGCTTTTAATAGGTTTGAAAAGCTTTTAATTGCTTTTAATAGCGTTCAATAGCTTTTAATAGCTTTCAATAGCTTTTAATAGCTTTGAAAAGCTTTCAATAGCTTTCAATAGCTTTCAATTGAGCTTTAAAACATAAAGCTCAATTTCAATAGCTTTCAATAGCTTTGAAAATCTTTAAAACGAATAAAAGCTTCTTTGTAACACAAATTTGTTCAACTTTTTCTTTTGATTACGTCAAAAGTTCACCAACAGCTGACTTTCTTTCCCGATTTTTCATTTTTTCATTCTTTTACCCAATTTCCACAATTACTTAAAGATAATCGAGAAAAATCAATCGTTTTCATGTTTTTTTCATTTTTCTCTCAAAGATTTGTCAAATTTTATCTTGTGAACTTGAAAATTTGATAGATTTAATAAGATTTTAGAAACTTCATAAAGATTTGTTCATAAAGATCATAAAATGTTTGTTAAAACCTGGATTTTGTCCCAATAACAAATCCCAATAACATTATTGACATCTCACCAAAGGTTTTCTTCACTTTTGCTTCAGTTAACGACTGCCAAAATCATAAAAAGATGAAGACAATGCTTTTTTGATACTTTAATACTTATTGAGATCAAAATGAAACCAAAAGCATAAAGATTGACCCATTTAGTTATGGCAAATTCCACAAAGATCCAGTTGCGCAAAAAACAATGACTTGAGCCGAACACTTAACGAGAACAGACGGATGGAGATCCAGCAAACGCTCTCCATCCGTCTGTTCTCGTCAAGTGTTCGGCTCAAGTCTCGCAATTGTTTTCTTTGGTGAAATACTGTACGCGATTGGATATTGCTTGCCATTTTTTGATCACCTAAATTAAAGACTTTGCAGTTAAACAATGCACAACAAGTAACACTATTAATCGCTTGAACACCAGCTTACCAAATGTTTAAGCTTACCACCAGCTTACCAGTTGTCCAAATCAAGGTAACAGCCAAGAACATCGTTCACAGTGAAAGACTCTCCGTAATCTTCGAATCGCTTCATGTGGCTCTTCTTTCCAGTACCGCCAAAACCCTACGATTTATCATCGGTACCTAAATATTGCGGAAACTAGTGCCCCCAACTGTCACGGAGTCACGGAGTCACGGAGTGTCACGGAAACTAGTGCCCCCAACTTTCGGATAGTTTATAAAGCTTATAAACACAAAAATCCATCTAACCACGAAAACTAACAAGTAAAAAAGAAAATTTATCGATAAAATTCGATAAAATTCGATAAAATTCTTTTTTTAAACGAAATCCCTTCACTTCGACTCAATTTTCACAAAAGTTTAACCAATTTTTGGCTAAATTCTCTCAATTTTTAGCTAAAAATCTCTCAATTTTTAGCTAAAAATCTCTCAATTTTCCCCCATCACGTTTGTTTGTTCATTTTTCTCTCCTCAAAACTTGCGTAGGTGATTTTTCGACTTTGCTTTTCTTTTTTTCTTTTCACTTTTCATCACTTTTTCAGAATTCAACAAAAGATTAACTGTATTTTTTTGTTTTCTATGCAAATCTTTTTCAGAAATGTTCAATCCTTGGATTTGTAAAGGAAAAATTGATCATTCTACTTAATTGAACAGCTTTTTTGTTTAATATTTGATATTGATGCATTGTGTTTATAAAAAAAGCGATCATAATGAGCGGTTTTGCTTTTTATTGAACAATTTAGCGTAAATTTGCTCTAAATTTGCTATAAAATTGCTCTAAATTTGCTATAAAATGCGAATAACTGATGCTCTAGATTCTATGCTTGATTCTATGCTACATAAATGATTTGATTTGAAATTTTAAATCAAATATCTAAGATTTAAACAAAAAAAAAATGCAAAAAGCTAGCTGATTTCTTAGATTTTCTTTATCTTTAAATGTTTTTATCGTTTTTATGAGGGTGGGACAAATGCGACCTTTTTTTGCGCACCTGGACATTTGCGCACCTTTTTTTTGCTGGAAAAGGCCTTAGGAAAGGCTGTAGAGCTTCAAAAACGTTTCCATATAGGGGAATCGTATGCGTAGATTCCGAATTTCGACAAATCAGACCTCGCTGACACGTTAAATTTGGGCTAAAAGGCAAAAACTGCGGAAAAGCGTTAAGTTGCGTAGTTTTTGCCTTTTAGCCCAAATTTGACGTGTCAGCGAGGTCTGATTTGCTTTGATTTGTCGAAATTCGGAATCTACGCATACGATTCCCTTCTATGAAAACATTTTTGAAGCTCTACGACCTTTCCTAAGGCCTTTTCCAGCAAAAAAGGTGCGCAAATGTCCAGGTGCGCAAAAAAAAGGTCGCGTTTGTCCCACCCTCGTTTTTATCGTTTCTTGATTGTTTCTTTATCGTTGCTTTATCTTTTCTGTATAGTTTCTTTATCTTTTCTTTATCTTTAAATCTTGTTTCATTATATTTAAATGTACTGTTTAAATCTTGTTTCATTTTATTGAAATGTTCTCAAAATTTCTTTTACTTATTCTATTTTTTCAGATTTACATGAAAAGAGTACTTCTACTGACGGCAAATGTCGGCTCGTTGTTTGAAGAAGACGCGAGATTACAAGAATCATGGCTGAATGTGATCACGAATGTGAGTTTAACCCTCTTTGCTTCTTTGCTTCTTTGCTTCTTTGCTTCTTTGCTTCTTTACTCCGGTCTAAGGAAAGATTTTAAATGAGGCACCTGCTTTTCGCTTTTTTATTCAAATTATTCTTTTAGACCGTAATGATTGTTTGTTTTCCATTAAAAACACAAAAAATCTTTAAGATTACCGTTAAATTTGAGAAAATACATGCAAAAGAAAAGAGCGCAAGTGCTAAAATGCAATTCAACGGCATCTTTATATACTTTTCGCCTAAATATCCACGTTTTACGGTGAGGCGGAAAGAAAAAATTGCGTTTTTCTTGATTTCTCGATTTGAAACCTTGTTTTTTATATGGGAAATACAGTACTGGACAATGAAATATTATATTTGAAAAACGATCGTCACGTTCGCACGTCTGTAACTCCCTTGTCTTTGAGTGTAAACTATTAGTGTTATACATTTTCTGAAAGCTCTTTTCAAGGGCTACACAATGGTAATATTAATATTTAGAAATACGGCAAAGACAAGGGAGTTACAGACGCGCGAAAGTGACGATCGTTTTTCAGATATGATATTTCATTGTCCAGTAGTGTAATTGTAGAGAAGGCTAAAACGCATCGAATAATATAAAAACGATCGCGATTCTTGTGAATCAACTATAAAGCCGGAGTATCGATTTAAAATAAAATTTTTATGAATATTCAAGTTAAAATCTTATCAAATACATGTTTTAACATCAATAGACTTATTGATTGATTTAATTTGGTTCACTTTTTACTTCAAAAGTCGAAATCCATCATTTCTAGTGCAGTCATCACTTTTCCTCACATTTACACAGTTTAACAAAAGATTAAAAGATCTTAGTATTGCGCCAGATTGGCTCTATGTACAAAATGAACTCTTTGGTTATAAGAATTTGTAAATGTACCTATTGATTCTTTAATAAATGCTTTTTTTCAGCAACTTCTCTCAAAAAAAGCTGAATTTGTCGTAATGCACATGCAAGAAACAGGCGGAAAAAACTTTCAACAATGTTCAAATCAGGTAAATTATATATAATAATCATGATTTATTTTCCTTTTAGGTCCCTGGTCTAGTTCAACGACTTTATGACCGAATAAAACACGAATATCCGGTGGCTAGAGCTGTTCTTGATATCGATTTTGAGCAAGAAATGTATACGGTAAGTCTTAGATATGTAAAAGGTTATCTAGAACTAACTAGATCTAGATCTAACTAGATTTATTATGCAATTTAGAGAAGAAATTCAAATTCTAGGCTCTTGGATCAATGTATTTTGTGCGAAGCTCATCTGTGGACAAAGTAGCGCAGTACAATTTTGAGGCTGGCAGATATGAGAGATTGAAAGATGGAATTGAAATGATTACGAAAGGTTGAAGATTATTTTATCTAAATGTCTTATATATCATTTCTAGATTTGGATAAGTTACCCTTTGTGATCAAACAGAAGTTTCCGAAGCACTTTTGGCCGTCATTTCGATGGGGAAGGAAAGGATTCGTGCATGCGCGATTTCGATACGCTCAACAGTAAGTTTGAATTGAAAATTGCGCTTTAAAGCTTTTTAATTGAATTTAAATCTAAAGATCATTGTAAATTTGACTTTTTAAATGACAAATTATACTTTAAAAGAAAAAGAGTAATGTTCTTTTACTGAAAATTGGAGAATATGAAAAGCTTTTCTTCATATTTAGACAATTTTCTTAATTTTGATCCCTTGCTAGATCTTAGATCGACTAGAAAATTATAGAAGATAGAAAACATCACAAAATAAAATCTTTCGGAAGTTTTTAGCTACTAAATGATAGAAAATAACTGACAATGGAAGATCAACTGGATAGCCTGTTCAAATGACATGACCATTTGACGCAGAATTTCACGCTGAATCCGAACCTGCTTTCCGTTTTTGCAACGCAGCACTCTATCGAAATTTATAAGCGTGCACTTCCCCGGTAGCCGAGTGGCCGAGTGGCTAGGAGCCTGACCTCGTAGTCCAGCGGCTGCTGGTTCGGCTTCATCCCCGGTCTTCTTTTTGCTTTTTTTCTGCGTTCTCTATCGGCTTAATCGTCTGTCAACCGACACACTCCCTGTACATAAGATTTCTGATTTTGTGGGCATCTTTCAACGCTTCAAGATTTAAAGATCAAAGTAAATCGGATGGTTTCATGATTAAGTAAATCAGCTAAAATCTGAAGGAAAGATTCCCATAATTTTTCAAATTATCCACCTTTTTACAAAGCCCATTACTTACAAATCAAACCATTAACAAACACACTATTAATATTAGATCTCAAGATATAAGACCTTAAGAAAGATCTTAAGAAATGAATAATCTGAATCATTTAGCTACTTCGATCTGGTAAACGTTCACCTATTTCACGACGAGAACAATCTGGCTTTGATACATGAGGTAGATCGACTTGGCAATGATATATTGATAGCTAACATGCCTAGGGTTAGCCCTAAGCTAGGTCAGCCATGGTCAGAGGTCAGCTTTACTGTAATAAAGTGAAGGAATTGGCAAGAAAAGGTAGATTTCCGGAGATGGGATTGAACCCTCGACCTCTTGCTTTCCTTTTGCTTTCCGGGCAATTGCTCAAAACACTGAGTGCCTTAACTTGCCGAGAGAAAGAGGAAAGATAAGGGGAAGAAGAAAGAAAGAAGGAAGCTTCGGCTCAGCTACTGACTCTAGAGCGGGCTTGGCCTAGCCTAGCTATTCTTGGCAGATCACTGACCATTAGACTTGTTAGATCATATTGTTATATTTATCAACCATAACCTTTCCCCTTCAGAATCCCAATCTCTATTCGGCGAATCGTCAACGAGCATTGGCTTTCGTGTTGGCTCACCTGAAAAACACTCAAAACGGTCATCCCTCCTACAGTTTTCTCTTCGGCGATTTGAATTTCCGGCTAGATTCGACGAGATTCTTAAATGTAAGCCAAAGAAAACATCTTTGCAAGAAAGAATTTAGCAATTAACAGCCGCCACTGAGTCACATCCGATTGGGGATTCGGATTTGCCGCATGGAAGTGTCGCAAATTGTCTCAATCTCAATGTTCCTCATGAGGTTCAACACAGTAGTTCGGGTTTGTTTCGTTAAAACGTTCGCTTATCCACTCCAGATGGCTCTAGAAATTGTATTAATCTTACCAGAAGCTAGATCAGGTTCATGAACCGGCCCAGGCCTGATCTGGCTCTAGAAATTTCATTACTTCAACCAAAATCCCCACTATGCCTATGGTCGACTGACTAAGAGCTCTGTTTCTTAGTCAGTACGTTTTTTCCGGCTGGTTCAACCTCGCTCGCTAGATTATTCGTTCTTTTTCCTGTATTCTAATGATTCTAATAATGAAGCCCCGCCCTTAGAGACAAAAAGTTACACAAGAGCGCAGTTTTCAAGTGAAATCTTTGAAACTTTATATAACATGCAATTCCATACACACATCTATAGAAAAAAAGCCGAATTGAGAATTGAGAATCGAATTTAATGCACTCATCACTAAGAAAATAGAAAAACTTTGAAAGAAAATGATGTGGAAATTTCTTGACTCTGGCTTGCTTGATTATCCGTGATTAACAATTACAATACTATCAACAGAAAAGAATTTAGGACACGAGCTGGAAAACCATTTGAGTTTACCCACTGAACAGCTGAGGAGAACGGTTTCAGCGATTGAATTCAGAAGAGAAATCTCTGATGACTCGGACTCGGATCAAGCCTCGGAAAGATCGTAAGTGACTAAAAATATATCTAAATCGAATACGTACTGTATTTGTTAGTAGATTTGTAACAAGAACATCTGTCGGTCCTTTTTGTTCTGGCAGCTTAAGGTTTTTCGTGTTTTTCTCAGCACCAACTCTTCTATTTTGTCTATTTTGACTATCATTCGATACAGAATATAATTGCGCGTCGAATGATATCAAAATGAACTCAAAATGTAATATCCATGCAAAGTTTTGAGGCAAATGGTTAAGACCCGCCTGGTTTAAGTTTTTAGCCAACAACTTTGCATGGATATTACATTTTGAGTTCATTTTGATATCATTCGACGCGCAATTATATTCTACATCGAATGGTAGTCAAAATAGACAAAATAGAAGGCTTGGTGCTAGGAAAAACACGAAAAACTAACGGTATAAAAGAACCGAAAGATGTTTCCGTTACTTAGCACCATTGCTCGGTTTGATCAAACAAATGATTAAATTGATGGGTAAAAATCGGAAACCTGCTACATTTTATTTTCTTGATAGTTCATTTTTAGCTTCTCGAAAACGAATTGCGTGCTGAGGATTGAAAAGAAACGATTCGAGTATTTCAATGCAAAGAAGCTATTGCAAGATTGGAATGAATATCTTGAATTCGATTTTGAGACAAAAGCTTTCCCAGAGCTTCACGAGATTCCCATCGATTTCCCGCCAACGTGAGTTGATTTATTTTGATATAAAATTAGTTCAAAATCGGGCAACTAAACCGGATTGTTAAGCAAAAACTACGACAAGTCTGTGAAAAGCCTATCAATTCCAAATTTTCTTCAATTTCGTTCAATTTCACCAATTTCTATTCAATTTTAAGAACTCTGAAATTTCTGAGATTTCAAAACTTTAAGCTGTCAATCTCAGCTTCTGTTTTACGATCGGCTTTCAATCAGACCAAATCACATTCTTGGAATCAAACCAATCCAAAGTACAATCCCAAAAATCTAATCCAGATTTTAGTATGTCACCGGCATACTCTAGAAATCCTTATCACCAAATCAAAACTAAATTCCAAGTCAGATCAGAAAATCCCAATCGGAAGCGCTTTTTGCCCAGCTTTAATCAGTAATTCCAAAAAAATCCCTCAAAAATCTATCACTGATAAGTCTACATGAGAATTCTCTAAAAAATTTATGAGAAATTTTGCAACACCCTCAATTTTATGATTGATTTGACCCCACAAAGTCCACAGAAAACTTTTGGTTATCAATTTTTTTTTCAGAAAATTTACAACCAAATCTTTTCGAGAAATTTTTAGAGGGAAATTCTGAGATTAGCAAGAAATTGAGAGCTTTTCTATTAAGAATTATAAAGTGTGTACATTCATTTGTTGATTTACTAGTGTTGAGTACTCGAATCGGACAAAGAAGTGATCCAAAAATCCCTTTTTCAGATATCCATGGAGTGAGGATCCAGCCGAGTCAAATGTTCTGATGAAAACTAGGGCTCCCGCTTGGTGTGACAGGGTGCTAATGAATGAACGGGCATGGAAACTGGTGAGTGAAGAGTGGAATAAGTGTTAGGTTTAGAGTAGAGCAGATTGGGTTTCGCTCAAAGCAAAGCCAAAAAAGTACTAACAAGAGAAGTACCTCAACTTGCCACTGTTGATCGCCAGACGCCTAAGAAGTTATAGAAATGACTAAGCTTATCAAAATCTCAAAAATTAGCTACCCATAGCTGCAAAATTAGCTCCCCAAGTTTTCAACATCTTGCTTAAAAGGCTTTTCTCGTTGGAGTGAGATGTTGGCTGATGGCCTAGTGGATAAGCTACTGGTATACAAAACGGCCCGTCCGTCCTTTACTCGGGTCCGAGTCCTCGCCTGGCGAATTTTTTTGATTTTTGATCTTTAATGAAACTAAGAAGAATCTATTTTCTTTCTTTTCATTCTTCTATATTTCAATAAAGAAAGAAGAAAAGAAGAGTTTCTTTAATAAATAAAGTAAATTAAAATTAGTCGGCTAGCTGGGGTAGCCTTGTAAGCTTTGTTAGAAAGATGAAAGTATTCAAAAAGGTCTGAACCTGGGTTTTGACCTAATCTGAACTGACCTACAAGCCTTAGGGTCTGGTTGGAACATTCTTGCATATCATTAGACTTCACTTAAGTAAAAGATTCCATAAAACACCTCGAATTTGTACCCAGATAAGTTTTCGAAATCAACATACTTCCAGAAATGTTCCAGAGTTGTAGGATCTATAGGCAGACCAGATAGACTAATAACTTGGTCCATAAAAGTACCTGGATCAGTCCAGAATCCACAACAGAGACTGGCTTTGGCCTTGGCTTCTTTTGGCTGGCTTAAAAAAGGCCCTGAGCCTGTCAGATTGCAAACTACAGCTAGCCTGGTTTCTGATCGGTTTGGCCTGACTTACAAGCCTTAAATAAAGCTATGATTCAGCTAAAACATCTCTAATTATACCTAAATCTTTAGTCTAATAGTAAAACCAACTAGATTCCTTTTTAGGTGAAAGAAGGCGACGCCTCTTATCAAAGCTTTGGCCAGGAAACATGTATGGGCGATCATAAGGTTTGTTTCTTGAAGAAAAACAGTGTTTCATGAATAATGCAGTAGAAATAATGCATAAGCACAAATCCTGAATGTAGGAAAAAAAAACAATAACCGATTTGCGGGATTGAACCCCTGATCGAACCCTGATTGAATCGGGATTGAACTCCCGATTAGGATACCAGACTCTTAGCCAGTCGGCCATGAAGCATACTCTTTGAGATCTCAAAAATCCTTTTACAGCCAGTCTACCTGTGTTTCGCGGTCACTGAGCAATGAGAAGAAATTGATTTTTATCCCCCTCACGTTCAAAATGCATATTCGACAAATAGGTGTTTTTTTTTGATATATGCAAATTTCGTTGTTTCTTTTTTTGTTCCTATTTTGTGAGATTTTCTTTTGTGGAAAGGCGGGAAATGATTGATTAGGAAAAGAGTTGAATCAGGAAAAATTGAGCAGAACACTAAAAATCAACCCAAAAACCCTTTTGACTTGACTTGACTTGGTTTAACTTTCAGGTCAAACCAAGAAAATTGACTTGATTTTCGTTTGGCTACACTTTGATTTTCATTTAGTTCGATGATTTACTGATCTTTTTTGGTGCTTTACGGTTAACGGATGATCGAGTGATTGTTGGGAGATCACCGAGTTTTTGCCCAACTTGCAGCTCATTTTTAAGCATCTTAAACTTGTCAGATCGGAAAGTTTTAAGAAGATTTAGATAGCTTAAAACGTCAGCTTCCAGAAAATATTTGTTTTATCAAAAGTTGTTAACAAAAACCTATCTAAAATCGGACTGCAAGTTGGTTAAAAACTTTGTTTTCTCGATAATCGATTGACCGGTAAAGATCGATCTTTTTGATGTCGTTTGATGATTTGCTGATATTTTACAACTTTACGAGAAGACAGCATTGTCTGACAGACATGAACGAGCGCATGCTCGTTCTGGCCCACAAGAAGAACCCAAATCTGAATGCTTCTGATGGCGTGGCTATGGTGAAGCAACAATTTAACAAAGGAATTTCTCGAAAAACGGTGGGTCGACGCTTGATTCACGGTGGATTGATGACTAGAAGGGCCGCCACATCTGATGGTAGCTAAGCAAACCTCTGATGGTAGCTAAGCACCGGAAGCTTCGTCTCGAGTTTGCTAAGAAGTATCAAAGTTGGACGTCGCACGATTGAGCCCGTGTTTTGTTCACCGACGAATCGAAAGTCAATCAATCAATCAATTTCGCCCCTGATGGCAATCATTTGATACGGAGACCAGTCGGACAACGTTATAACATTAAATACTTGCGTCCTGCAGTTAAATTTGGTGGCGGATCGACGCCGATCGATCATGCCATGGGGTAAGAACGTTTGTATTTTGTGCCTACTGATTTTGACCCGGTTCATTCATAAATCTAGCTTTAAAGCTCATTCTGTGATCGAAATTTATAATTAAAGCTCATGAAAGAGCTTTTTATCTTTTTTAATATTCTTTTTTGCAAAATTCGACATTCGACACAAAAATAGAGCCAAATTAACGATAGAAAGAGAAGATTGAGAAAATAAATGAAGTAAATAGAAAATGACGACAAAATAAAGTACACTAACACCAATTTCCCGCCTTTTTTCTCTTCAACTTCAAAATATTCAATCAAGAAATCATTAGACTCGATTTCGATTTGACGCTAAACTTATTGATGGTCAAGTTGTTTTGTTTTCAATTAAACAATTGAATAGCTTGAAATGTTGAAAAGAACATTTGAATATTGATACTTATTCTTCTCTAGTGAAAACAAAAAAAAAAGGGTCTATCCCAAAACAGCGCCGCCAAAATAGCGCCGACCAAAACAACGCCGACCAAAACAACGCCGACCAAAACAACGCCGACCAAAACAACGCCGAACCTAAAACAGCGCCAATGAAAAACGCCCAGAACAGCGCCGATGCAAAACAAAGTTTTTGCATTGGCGCTGTTTTGGCGGCGCTGTTTTGGGGTAGACCCAAAAAAAACACTGTGATCCCCAAAAATTGAAACGAAAATCTTTTCATTGTTGTGATTTCTTTTTTGAGAAAATTCTTTGAAATAAAAAGTTTATTATGACAATGATATGATGAGAATTTGTTTGAAAAAGTCAAAAAAGTCAAAAAGATTTTTTAAAAAGAAAAACTCTTAAGGCAACTTTGTTCTATTCAAGCGATTTGTCTATAGAAAAACGAAAAAATGACAAAAATTTGATGAAATAATCACAAATTTTGATTGATCTTGAAGATTTAGGGAAAATAGATGATTTTAAGAGTCAAAATTGATTTTTTTTAAGTTATAGAAGCTGTTTTTAGTAGATTTTGAGTAAAAAATGTAGCCAAGACGCCAAGAATTTAGCGAAAATCGAAAAACGAATACGATAGAAATGAGCAGATTACAAAATAGCTTTAACTTTTCGATTTGACGCTAAACTTATTGATGGCCAAGTTGTTTTGTTTTCAGTTAAACAATTGAATAGCTTGAAATGTTGAAAAGAACAATTGAATATTGAATATTGAAAAATGAATATTGATACTTATTCTTCTGGCGGCCGCATTTCCTTCAATTTGCATACAAAAGCAATCTCAATCCAAAGATATCTTTGGATAGCCCAAAGGTAGCCTTTTTCAACTGCAAAAGAATGTTTAGAACGTTGCAAAAGAACGTGTACTTTTGCATCTGGTGAACGCATCCAAAATTTACATTCTTTTCTCGTTTAAAGATTGCTCGTTGATTGAAGTTAGATTGCCAATGACAAAGGGGCGGAGCGGCTATCAAATGTCCCATAATCTTAGAAAAGATAACAAAGAATATACCGTATTCTCTCTAATGCATATAAAAGCGTAGCGCACCCTGAGCACCCTGAGCCCTGAGCTGCGCCCTGAGCTGCGCCCTGAGCTGCGCCCTGAGCTGAGCCCTGAGCTGAGCCCTGAGCTGAGCCCTGCGCTGAGCCCTGCGCAGTAGCGCACCCTGAGCCTCGCCTAAATTCCTCCAAATCTCGAGAACCGCTTATCAGAACCTATCGATGTGGGGTCGGAAAATGTAGCTGACGACGTGATCTAGCGAGGGATTAGAGTGTTGAGCTTCTGGGAAAGCTTGGAAACGGTAAAATAGCCATCAACTCGGCTCCGCCTACTATTAGAGAGAATATGGTATATAAAATAGTTGAAAACTAGTGCAAGATGAAATGTACTTTTGTATGCAAAGAGGAAATGTGATCGTCAGATGAATAACTACCTGAATATCTTATAGTAAAATCTCTAATGTTGAATGGCGAGCTGTGGAAGTGGCGCCTCGACGGTGAGCACTCCATCAGTTGACAAAGTCGAGCTGATCAACTCAGGATTTGTGCCACGGGGAAGAAGAAATTCCTGGAAATAAAAAAGTTTTGACTTTGGAATGTAGACAAACAGGCAAAGCTAAACAAGTCAGAGCTAAGTTTGGCAGATCTTGAAACTTATGAGATAGATCTGCCGGCCCATGCAAACCCAGAGATCCTTTTAAACCCTTAGCCGTTATCCAGGAAACTTCTAATCACCGCCAATCGATTCTCCGTGTCAATTTACATAAGAAAAGAGGTAAAAATCTGATTTAAAACTTGTCGAGCGAGCTAGAGAGGCTCAAAGTTGATTTGTCACAATTTTTTTTGCCTCTGTGAACTTTAAGCCTTTTTAGCTAGCTTCACAAGCTTTAAATCAAAATTTTAGCTTATGTATCCTATGTAAATTGATACAGAGAATCGATTTGTGTTGGTTAGAAGTTTCCTAGATAACTGCTAAGGGTCTAAAACCTCTGCCTAAAGATCGAAAACCCTAAATTTCTTAATTTTTTGAATGAATTTGCTTTTCGAGAGATTTCATTAAAGCCTAGGCTGAAGATTTTATTAAATTTTCTTCTTTGGATGTAAATTCATTTGTTCTGGACAAAGCCTTAGCGATTCTTCAGCTTTAGCGGTTCAAAAATAAACAAAATACTGGCTACAGCTGTGGAGACTTAGAAGATCGAGGCAACGAGAAAAGATTTACTTCAATTTTTTCTATCATTTGACCAACAAGCATCAGTTTTCTATTAAAATTGTTATAAAATTCTCAAAACTCTAGCCAAACGATCGCTTTTCAATCCGCTTTTCAATCTTTTCAATCCGCTTTTCAATCCAAGCTATCTTTACAATTTTTATCAAAGAAATTTCAAATTTTCCTGCTTGTCTAGTGTCTAGAAGCTAAATAAGGACAAAACCCTGTTAAAACCTGCTTGTCTAGGTCTAGTCTGTTAATTCCAGGACCAAGCCTATGCCAATAAGTCTCTAGCTCTTGGTTCAGCCTGCTATTTCAATTGGACAACCCAACACCAAGAAATTTGAGCTTGGCTGCTTGACTTTTCTCCAATCATCTGAAGCCCCTTTCCTATTAGCAAGCTGACTTTAAGCTCAAATTTCTTGATGTTGGAATCCAATTCAAACATTAGCTCAAAGTATGCCAATGGCAAAGGGGCGGGACCATTGTGTGGCCTTTTATACGCGCCCCGCCCCCTTTGCCATTAGCAATCTAACTTTGAGCTCAAATATCTTTGTGTTGGACTGTCGAATTTCAATCTTCATGGTATCATTAGATGCGCCAAGTCTTTCTCTGTCGATTGGTACAGAAACTATTTCAATTGGACAGCCCAACACCAAGAAATTTGAGCTTGGCTGCTTGACTTTTCTCCAATCATCTGAAGCCCCTTTCCTATTAGCAAGCTGACTTTAAGCTCAAATTTCTTGATGTTGGCATCCAATTAAAACCAAGCTATCTTTACAATTTTTATCAAAGAAATTCTAAATTTTCCCTTTCAATTCACTTTCACAATTTTGTTTATCCAGTTTATCCAAAAGAAAGTCAAAGAAAATCGTTAGAAAAAGGCGAGAATCAAATTCCTTTTATCCACTTTTATCCAAATCTTTTCCTCTTTCTTCAATCCTTTTTCTAAATTCAATGTTCCATTTTTTCTTTTCCTTTTCCTCAATTCATCGATAAAAATTTGAGAAGAATGGGAAATTTCTTTAGCAAAATGTCCTTTTAATGTTTATTTATTTAGCAAAATGTCCTTTTTGATATTTAAAATGATCGATGATGCAAGAATTGCTTTTAAAAACACAAGGACATGCTTAAAGGACACAAATGTGCAAAGAATAAAGCTGTGTAGATCCTAGAAGATCTTGGTGATTTGGTGAGGGTCACAGCTCAGCTAGACCTCATTCTCTTTTCTCCTAGAAGAAAAAAAGAGAAGAGAAGTATCATTTGAGACACGGAACTTGCCAGAGATCAAGAGTTGACAAAAACGAAGAAAGGGGTGAATGAGTGGGGGCCATGGGGGATCTGCCCTGCTCGGCTTCTCTCATGTAATCGGTCTGGGCTTAGGTCTGGCTTAGGCTTAGATCTGGCTTAGGCTTAGGTCTGGCTTAGGTCTCTTTTTTCATGAAGGTGGTCGAATTGGTGATTGGTGAGGGTCACAGCTCAGCTAGACCTCATTCTCTTTTCTCTCCGATCTCCGCTATCCACTTCTGACGTTAAATCGCGACTCTTGCATCTGTTTTAGATATCTGTCTCATTTTTTTTCTTTTCCTTTTCCCTAATTTGCTTTTGCCCCAACCTCTACAATTCATCGATAGAAATTTGAGAAGAATGGGAAATTTCTTCAGCAAAATGTCCCTTTTCATCTTTTTATCTTTAGCAAAATGTCCTTTTTGATATTTAAAATGATCGACGATGATGCAAGAATTGCTTTGAAGGAAAGGGAATGAAGATTTCTTCAAAGCTTGTAAAGCAAAGCAGGCTTAAACCAAGAGCTAGAGCTAAACCAAGAGCTATTGGCATAGGCTTGGTTCTGAAATTAACAGACTAGACCTAGACAAGCAGATTTTAACAGACAACCAGGGTTTTGTCCTTATTTAGCTTTTGTTTTACCTGGTTTACTCATAGAAAAACTCATAAAACGTGCCTAGAATCGACAGAAGCATATTAACAGCCATGTTAAGCTCCGCCCCTTTTTTCTGTTCGTTTGCCGTTGGCAATCTACCAATTTTGCCTGTACCTTGATTTGTAAAACGTTGAGTGTGCTTGATTCGATAGAAAATTCGATTTCAAATCGAATCAAAGTAAATTCAACGTTTTACAAACAAAAACCAGCTAAAATACGAGCAAAATTCGCAGATTGCCAACGGCAAACTGACAGAAAAAGTGGCGGAGCTTAAGCCATTGGCAATCTAACTTTAAGCTCAAATATCTTGGTGTTGGGGCATTCAATTCAAACATTCTTGGTATCATTTGATGCGCCAAGTCTTTCTCTATCGATTGGTTTAAAAACTACTTCAATTGGACAGATCAACCCCAAGATATTTGAGCTCAAAGTTAGATTGCCAATGGCAAGGGGCAGGGTACGTATAAAAGGTCCGACAAAGGGGCGGAGCTTAACATGATTGGACAGAAGTTAAAAGACAAAAGAATCTTGACAAAAGAGTCAATATTAGTCTTGTCTAGGCTTTAGAATAACTGGTAATATTGTATTTCTTTATATTTCTGATGTAGACTTTATTCTGTTGTATTTTATCGAATTTTTGTATTTCTTTATACAATCGATTGTAATATCGATCTCTGGGTTCTCTGGGTTTGCATGTAATAATAATCGATTGTACTTCTTTTCACTAACCTGATTATATTCACGGAAAACGGTGCGTTGCGGGGATTTTTCCTCGTGTTTCGCGTGGACGAGCAGACGATTGTCGATGGTTTTCACTGTCACCTCCTCGGGCTTATATTGAGCCACGTCGAAGCTGGAAAGTCGAATTTTTAATCTCCCAATTACTTAATATTCAGTCTTTTTTGATGGCGCTACTCTCTGAGCTCCAGCGCTGACGCTGAGAGCGAACCATGCGGATCCAGCTCTTTTAAATAGTTTAAATTCTTATATAAAGGGAAATTGATTGACTTAATCAAAAAAGGAAAAATTAAAAGAGGAGTTGTAATTTGCTTTGATACATTGATGATTTGCGGGGTTTTGATGATATTGATAGATTGATAGCGCTACTCTCTGAGCTCCAGCGCTGACTTTGAGAGCGAACCATGCGGATCCAGCTCTATTCTGCGGATCCAGCTCTATTCTACGGATCCAGCTCTATTCTACGGATCCAGCTCTATTCTACGGATCCGGGTCTTCTTTTGGTGGCTCTTCATCCTCGCAAAAGCCACTATCTTGTCGATTATCGGTTCGAAAGCCGGCTTTTCCCTCCTCTTCATTTCCTTTCCTTCATTTCCTTTCCTCCTTGTCAATTTCCTTATTCGGATCGCTTTCCGATGTCACTTCTCCCCTCATTTTCCTCTCTTTTCTCAAACAGCTCTTCTCGGCTCGTTTCTTCTGTGCCGTCTCTTTTGTGCCGTCTCTTCTGTGCCGTCTCTTTTGTGCCGTCTCTTTTGTGCCGTCTCTTTTGTGCCGCACGATCCCTTTCGGAACATGCGTTTATCGACTGTTTCCGAGTATGAAACCCGTTTCTTTCTTGGAGTGCTCAGCGATTCTTCTGGAGCATCATCAAGACGATCATCAAGATCGAGAAGCGACGATCGTTCTCGACAGAAGAATGATTGAAATCGAGAATGATTGAAATCGAGAATGATCGAGATCGAGAATTGAAATTTCTGGAGATTTGAGCTGAGATAATCGTGAGTTTTTGAACTTTAAAACTTAAATTGAGAAAAGAAACAAATTGAAAGTTTAAAATGTGTTTAATATAGATTAAAATATAGATAATATTATTCACAAAACTCACCGAAGTCTAAGCGTTTTTCCATCGGATTCATCGCGAATGAGTGGACTTTTTAAATTGTCCAAATATGGGTCATAGCTCGGCCGAACGGCCATCAGATCGCCACCTAAAAAGAAATCAGTTTTTCAAAAGTTTTCTATCATTTTCAGCAATTCATAAAGATTATAGTGCCATTGGATTGCTAATGGAAAAGGGGCGGGGCCATTGTGTAGCCTTTTATACGCGCCCTGGCCCCTTTCCCCATTGGCAAAACTTTGAGCTCAAATTTCTTGGTGTTGGGCAGTCCACTTGAAATAGTTTTTGTATCATTAGATGCGCCAAGTCTTTCTCTATCGATTGGTATAAAAACTATTTCAATTGGACAGCTCAACACCGAGAAATTTGATCTCAAAGTTTGCCAATGGGAAAAGGGGCGGGGCCACTGTGAGACCTTTTATACGCGCCCCGCCCCAATAACAATCCCCAAATTAAACCTGTCCAGCCGTTTTTTCTTTAGCTTGAAAGACTAAATAAGACTTTGAAAGCTTAAAATTAGCTGACGAAAATGAACGATTTACAAAGAAATTCTATCGACAAGCTAAAGAAGAAAGATGAACAAAATGGACGTCGTATTGTATTGAAAGCTTTAGAGATGGTACTCTTTCATTTGAGAGTGAGATTACCGTAAATACTGTAATAGTACTCCCCCCCGTGTCGAGGTGGTGTCCGGTTCAATACGCAACTATCTATTTTGCTTCTAAATCAAAAAAACAACCGGTTTCAATTCAAACATGACTTCCAGATCGTCCAAATTTCATGGAAAAATTCGAAAATACAACTAAATCTTTGAGAAAATGGGAGGATAAGAGTTCAAGTGAAATTAGAAAAGAGTTTCAAAGATTTTCGAAATCTGCTACTGATTTCTGCTTATCTGGAATGCACACTAGAAATTGGGAAACACACACACACACATTTTCTTTCAAATTTCCGATTTCCTAATTCTTATTTCCCTTTTTACCTTAAAACAAAGAAACAAACAAAAAAACAAAGAATTTACTTATATTTCTCTTTTTTCTTTAGACAAAAGTCTTCAAATTATTCTTTTTGTTTTTGAAAAAGGAAAAAAAGAGAAAACCGCTGAGTAAACCCATTCATTGACTTCCGGAAAAGAAAATAATGAGGCAAAACAAATTTTGGGAAAAGGTTCAAGGTTTTAAAGGGGGGTATTAATCGCGGCCGGGTGACGATAAAAATTTTTTTACGGCAACCACCTGTTTTTTTGTTTTAATATCGCTGATTTTATTATAAAAAGAATAAAAATCACCCGGCTAGAGTGATTTGATGGGTTTACAAATTTTTGGAGACACTGCAAGGCTTGGAGAAAAACAAGATCGTCACTCATCAGACACCTCAGCTAAAAGGCACCTATTTGAGAAAACTAAAACCACAAGCGACCACAAATGGAAAAAAGATCTAATTGTGTCAATTAAAGCGCTGAAGATGTCCTACGGTGGAGGAGATTCAGTCACTTCTGGTGAAGATGCGCTGGAAATTGATAAGATAGGAAGCCGATTTGAGGAACTGCTGTACTTGAGCGAAGATGAAAGTGAGCAAGAGGAAGAATTATAGATTAACAATTTATTTTTATTGTTTTTTGTGCTTTTTATTTTGTTTTTAAATTTATCTGCAATTAAAATTCAATCGATCTAGACTGTGCTGAGGTGTCTGATGAGTGACGATCTTGTTTTTCTCCAAGCCTTGCAGCATCTCCAAAAATTTGTAAACCCATCAAATCACTCTAGCCGGGTGATTTTTATTCTTTTTATAATAAAATCAGCGATATTAAAATAAAAAAACAGGTGGTTGCCGTAAAAAATTTTTTATCGTCACCCGGCCGCGATTAATACCCCCCCTTTAAAGGTTTAAAGAAGCATACAAATTGTACTTTCTTCATTGAAATCTTGACAAAGTTCATTTAAAAGCCTTTTTTAAACTTTAAAATGCAAATCTCAAGGCAACTAGTTGACAAAATACATTTAAAAGCCTTTTTTAACCTTTAAAACTAAAAAAACAAGGCAACTAGTTGACAAAATACACTCAAAGGCTTTCTTCAACTTTAAAACTCAAAAGTCAAGCCAACTAGTTGACAAAATACATTTAAAAGCCTTTTTTAACCTTTAAAACTCAAAGATCAAGACAAGAAATTGATAAAATATACTTAAAAGCTTTTACTAAACTTTAAAACTAAAAAACTCAAGGCAACTAGTTGATAAAATGAAGCTAAAAGCCTTTTTTAAACTTTAAAATGCAAAACTCAAGGCAACTAGTTGATAAAATACACTTAAAAGCTTGCTTCAACTTTTAAATGCAAATCTTAAGGCTAAAATTCTTGCAGATTGCTTGATGATTCAATAAGTGAATGAGTTTTTACTATATATAAAGCAGAAGAGACGTTTGTCCGTCTGTGCGCAGCCATTGGCAAAAAGGGGCGGGGCTTAGATTGCGTGGAAAACGCTACGATGACTTTATTTTAAAGTTTAAGATTCGGAAAAGAAAGAAGATAGCTTACCGTATTCTCTCTAATAGTAGGACACCCTTAGCGTCGTCTAAATTCCTGGAAATCTCGAGAACCGCTAATCAGAACCTATCGATGTGAGGGCGGAAAATGTAGCTGACGATGAGATCTAGTGGGGGATTTGAGTGTTGAGGTTCTGGGAAAGCTTGGAAACAGTAAAATAGTCACCAACTCGGCCCGGCTCGGTGCACTACTATTAGAGACTTAGAGCACTACTACTATTAGGCACTACTGTATTCTCTCTAATGCATACAAAAGCGTAGCGCACCCTGAGCACCCTGAGCTGAGCCCTGAGCTGAGCCCTGAGCTGAGCCCTGAGCTGAGCCCTGAGCTGAGCACTGAGCTGCGCCATGAGCTGAGCCCTGAGCTGAGCACTGAGCTGCGCCATGAGCTGAGCCCTGAGCTGAGCCCTGAGCTGAGCCCTGAGCTGAGCCCTGAGCTGCGCCATGAGCTGCGCCATGAGCTGCGCCATGAGCTGCGCCATGAGCTGAGCCCTGAGCTGAGCCCTGAGCTGAGCCCTGAGCTGAGCCCTGAGCTGAGCCCTGAGCAGTAGCGCACCATGAGCCTCGCCTAAATTCCTCCAAATCTCGAGAACCGCTTATCAGAACCTATCGATGTGAGGGCGGAAAATGTAGCTGACGATGAGATCTAGTGAGAGATTAGAATGTTGAGCTTCTGTGAAGCTTTGGAAGCCTTTGATTTGAGTGTTGAGGTTCTGGGAAAGCTTGGAAACGGTAAAATAGTCATCAAACTCGGCCCGGTGTACTACTATTAGAGAGAATAAGGTATTTAGTTTATTGCTGAGATTTGATTGCTTTGACTTGATTGCTGAGATTGATTTGTGATCGCCTGCTGGGGTGGAGCACGAGAGCAATTAGATAAGTTAAAAGATTCTTTAATTTATCTAGATTTCTTTAGCTAAAAAGATTATCTAACTCAAAGGTTTATCTAGAGTAAATTTAGCGTTTTAATTTCCAAGTAAACCAGTCAAAAACTAGTTTTTAAGGTAAGTTTTCTTCAAAATAATATCTAATAATTTCTAAAAAAGAATATCTAAAAGATTTGATCAGAAAAATAGAAGAAAGAAAGGAATTTGTGGAAAATTGAGGAAAAATTCTAGAACGGACCCGGGGAAAACACATCTGAATGCCAGAAAAAGGAGAGGAATTCAGAAAAGAAAAGAAAAAAAGAAGAGAGACTCCTTCTGAAAAGGCCAAAGAAAGGGGAAAAGGCCAAAGAAAGAAAAAAAAGCAAAAAAGCAAAAAAAGCGAATGGGAAATTTGTCCCGAAAGAGAAATAAAAACTTTTCTTCTTTTTCATCCTTTTAGCGCAAAAAAAATATGAGCAAAGCTTTTTTTTTGGGTTTTCTTTTTTTCAAAGGACTTGAAGTGAGTGAAAAATTCGAAAAAACGCTTGAAAACCCCAATTAGATAAGTGTTTTGAATCAAAAAAGCTAATAAAGTATTGAATTTTCTTTCAATTATCAATAAATTTGTTTAAAAATAAGCTAAAAAGGCTTCAAAAAGCGTCAAAAATCGTCAAAAAGCGTCAAAAGTCGTTAAAAATCGTCAAAAACCCTTGAAAACCCCAATTAGATGAGTGTTTTGAATCAAAAAGCTAATAAAGTATTGAATTTTCTTTCAATTATCAACAAATTTGTTTAAAAATAAGCTAAAAAGGCTTCAAAAAGGGTCAAAAAGGGTCAAAAATCGTTAAAAATCGTCAAAAATTGTTGAAACCTCAATTAGATAAGTGTTTTGAATAAAAACGCTAATAAAGTATTGAATTTTCTTTAAATTATAAACAAATTTGTTTAAAAATAAGCTAAAAAGGCTTCAAAAATCATCAAAAATCATCCAAAATCATCAAAAATCATCAAAAATCATCAAAAATCATCCAAAACCAGCTAAAAACCGTTCAAAACATTCATGTTAAGCTCTTGAATTTAAAGATACTGCAATTAAAGGATGAAATAGAATAAAAAAAGACAGCCAAAGACTTCTATTCGAATCATTATAAATAAGAAAAGCCTAATTTTAGCTATAAAATATAGCAAAGCTATAAAAATGTGCAAAATTTCCTTAAAATATAGTAATGGATAGTTTTATTTAAGGATTTAGGTTTTTTAGGGGTCTGGAATTTGTTTTTGAATAGTTCTCGTGCAAAGGTAGACAATAGGACCATAACTTAAAATGATTTATGAGCGTAAAGGCAACTATCACTAGAATTTACCCTATTACTGGGAGAAGCATCCATTTTTCTCTCACAATCACACGGTTTTCTACGCAGTACTCTAAATAGTAGAAATTAGAAAGCCTAATTTTAGAAAAATCATCAAAAATCATCAAAAATCATCAAAAATCATCAAAAATCATCAAAAATCATCCAAAAAAGTTCAAAACATTCATTTTAAGCTCTTGAATTTAAAGATACTGCAATTAAAGGATGAAATAGAATAAAAAAAGACAGCCAAAGACGGGGTAGGCTACTTTCCGCCATTTTATTTGCGCAACAGGGTCATTTGCGCAAGTACGTTTGCGCAACAAGGGTCATTTGCGCAACTTTATTTGCGCAACTGGGTCATTTGCGCAACTTTATTTGCACAAAAAGGGTCATTTGCGCAACTGGGTCATTTGCGCAACTTTAACACTGTATTAAGCACTCGAATTTTTAATCATTATTTTCATTTTTGAGCTTTTTTTTTATTGTTTTTTATTTTCTTCTATTTTTATGAAATCTTCCAATTTTTTGCATAATCTTCCAATATTTATCTAAATTAGTCCTTTCTAAGAGCTAATAACCATTAGTAAAATATTTTATGCTTTTGTTTTTGTCGAGCCAATACAGTTTTCTTCCGTGTGTAGTTTTGTCCAACAGTGAGATTGATAGCCGATGAAAGCTTGAAACGGTTGATTATTTGCGTCATTTCTTCGTAAAGTCTGACCGCAGTATACGATGGATGCGGATTCTTGGGAAAATGCGGAAAATTAGTTAACAATGGTTTTTAAGAATAAACAAAACCGTACTAGAATTTTAAACAACAAAAAAAAACGCCAAAAACTCCCTTAAAAAAAACGTCCCTTAAAAACGTCAAAAAAAGTTGCGCAAATGACCCTGTTGCGCAAACGTACTTGCGCAAATGACCCTGTTGCGCAAATAAAATGGCGGAAAGTAGCCTACCCCCCAAAGACTTCTATTGGAATCATTATAAATAAGGAAAGCCTAATTTTCGAAAAAGTTTCCAGAAAATCAAGTTTTCTTAATCAAAAATCGAAGATTTTAGCGTAAAATTGTGCTTTTTTTTTTGAAGTTAAACAAAAAGATTTCAAATTCAACAACAAATTCAACCAGCTCATTAAATTGAGTGTTTTGCAGGGATTTTGAAAGCTTTTTGTCAAGCGGATTGCGTGATCTCTTCAATTTTTTTTTTCGCTTTTCGCTTTCAACAAAAACCTCCCCAAAACTAGAAAACAAAACACACTTTGAACTAAATAAAATGTCAAATTTTGTTGAAGATTCAAATTAGAGTATGAAAAGATTAGTATTGTAAGTGATTTTCCGGATTTCCGGGTTTTTTTACGGTTAACGGATGATCGAGTGATTGTTGGGAGAGGACCGAGTTTTTGGCCAACTTGTAGCTCATTTTTAATCATTTTAAACTTGTCCGATCGGAAAGTTTTAAGAAGATTTAGATAGCTTAAAACGTCAGCTTTCAGAAAATATTTGTTTTATCAAAAGTTGTTAACAAAAACCTATCTAAAATCGGACTGCAAGTTGGTCAAAAATTGGCAAAAAAAGTTACCCCCTCTCCCGATAACCGCGCCCCGATAATCCCGCCCGACAATTGCGCCCCGAAAATTGCGCCCCGATAACCGCGCCCAGATAACCCCGATAATCCCGCCCGACAATTGCGCCCCGAAAATTGCGTCCCGATAACCGCGCCCCCTAATCGCGCCCCGATAATCGCACCCCGATAACCGCGCCCCGATAACCACGCCCCGATAATCCCACCGCGACAATTGCGCCCCGAAAATTGCGCCCCGATAATCGCGCTCTGATAATTACGCTCCGATAACCGCACTCTGATAATTGCGTTAATCGTGTCCCGACAATAGCCCCCCTCCCCCCGTTATCCATAAAGCATCGATTTCCAAAATTCTGTTTTAGGTTAAGTTTTAATTCTCAAAATCCCTACCAAAATGTCCACGCTCATCCCGATGTCCCTGGCTCGAATAAGAGCGATTTTGTTGCGATGATGAGGTTGAATAGTGAGATTGATTTGATTGCTGAGATTGATTTGTGATCGCCTGCTGGGGTGGAGCACGAGAGCTGTAGCCTGAAAAGGAACAATGTAGTTGTTGGTTCTTTTCTGGGTTTGGATTGACATGATCGACGCTGGGATTCGAATCAGCTTTCTCTCGCTTACTGGCTCAGGGCTCTACCACTGAGCTACACCAGGAAATTGCCCATTGTCAGGAAAGGTTCTTATGCCTTAGTAAACGATTTCTCAACAATCTTGGATCAGACTTTTTGTTATTTATGGCCAGTTTTTAGCCTAAACCAGCTCGATAAGAGTCCATAATCATTTTTGGATTTTATTTCACTTTTATATCAGTATTTGTTATTTTCCGGTTCTGGAAAACTACCGTAACCAGTTCTTTAGACTTTTACTTATTTTGACTAGGGTTTATCTGTTAATCTGTTCATCCAAACTTACCGTATTTCCTCTAATAAATGCCCTCCCCTTGACCAACTTTAGACGTCTTGTTCTCATCCCGATTGTGAGATATTTTTATGTTTAATATCCCAAAAAATAGCAGATATTAAGGGCTATCTTTTGATATATTAAACATGAAAATAACTCAAAATGGGGCTTAGAATGAAGCCTCCAAAGTTGATCGAGGATCGGTTCAAAGTGAGGTCCAAAGTTGGTTGTCCGACTTTAGACGTCTTGTTCTCAGGCCGGTTGTGAGATAGTTTTATGTTGAATATCCCGAAAAATAGCAGACATTAAGGGCTATCATTTGATATATTAAACATGAAAATAACTCAAGATGGGGCTAAGAATGAAGCGTTCAAAGTTGCTCGAGAAGGGGGCTTCTTAGAGGAAAGACGGTAACTGTTAATTGTTATTTGATCCAAATTAATTGAGACCGCCTTATCTGGGGCGGTGGCCGACTGGCTAAGAGCCTTGTTTCTAAGTCAGGAGGTCGGGGGTTCAATCCCGGTGACTGTTTCCTCGGTTTTTCCCACATTTTTTGGATTTTTCCCTACATTTAGGGCTTGCTTTTGTATTGTTTTTATTATATTCTTCATATAGATACCGTCATTCTTCGAATAGAAGACCGGGTAAATAGTATCATCGCGTACTCCTGCGTAGCAGCCCCTTTTTAAAATTTCTTTTCTGCATAAGAGCTTTCAATCAAGTGCTATAGAGCTGGAAAATGACTCAAAAATACCACATGAGCCAAGAGATTTTTGAGCCATTTTCCAGTTCTATAGCACTTGATTGAAAGCTTTTATGCAGAAAAGAAATTTTAAAAAGGGCTGCTACGCAGGAGTACACGATCATACTCTTTACCCGGTCTTCTATTCGAGAGAAATACGGTAAATGTTTACCTTCAAACTCTTGTCTGAGCCTTTTCATCTCATCTTCGACTCTTCTCATCTCAGCCTCGAAACGATCTCTCATATTTCCGAATTCATTGTCGACAACCGAGTAATTTGTCGGTTTCACGTTGATTGGACGTTCCATTTGCTGGAATTTTAAATTTTTGCTAATGAATAAGTGAAATTTAGTGACAAGAAAACAAAAAATAAACAAATAAACAACAAATACAAAATTTTCTTCAATAAGAGACCCTTTTTAAGTTATTTAAAGCATTGAAAAAGGTCGAAATTTGAATTTTTTTTAAAATTTAGAGAAAAATATTGAAAGAACTGATTTTTTTGATATGTTAAAGTTGTAATTTTTGTAAAATTAAAAAGGAGATCATTTTTTGGTTGGAAAACTTTTGGAAAATGAGGCTTTGAGTAATGAAAACACAACGAAATCGGGGTTAAAAGAGAAGAAAGAAAAGAGAAGAGAGAAGAGAAGAAAAGAGAAGAGGAAAGAGAGGAGAAAAGGGAAGAGAAGAAAAGAGAGGAGAAAAGAGAAGAAAGGAGAAGAGAAGAAAAGAGAAGAAAAGAGAAGAGAGAAGAAAAGAAAAAAGGAAAGAAAAGAAAACGCCCCAAATTTCTCAACAACATGTGTTCAAATTTTTGAGAAATTGAGAGAAAAAAATAATGAAATTTTTTGGGGAAAAGATTTCGAAAAAAGATTACACTAGTGAGCGTACTTTGTGCAAAAATGTAAACACAACCCTGCTGGTGCATTGGATTCTTGATTTTCCTTGCCTCAAGAAAAACCAAGAATTCAGTGCGCCAGAAAGGATGCGTTCACCTTTGAGCACAGAGTACACGCAAATCCAGCCTTGTACTTTGTGCTCATAGGTAAACACACCCCTTCTGGTGCATTGAATTCTTCATTTGCTTGCGATTTTCTCAAGTAAAATAAAGAATTCAGTGTGCCAGAAAGGATGCGCTCACTTTTCAGCACAGAGTACACGAACGGCCGGCCGTACTTTGTGCTCAAATGTAAACACAACTCTTCTGGTACATTGGATTCTTTATTTGTCTTCGATGATCCGTGCCTTAAGAAAAATAAGGAATTCAGTGCGCTAGAAAGGATGCGTTTACATTTGAGCACAGAGTACATTCAAATCCAGCCTTAAGCTTTGTGCCCAAATGTAAACAGGCACCTTCTGGTGCATTGAATTCTTGATTTTCCTAGCCTCAAGAAAAATCAAGAATCCAGTGCGCCAGAAAGGATGCGTTCACCTTTGAGCACAGAGTACACGCAAATCCAGCCTTGTACTTTGTGCTCAAATGTAAACAGACCCCTTCTGGTGCATTGAATTCTTCATTTGTTTGCGATGATTCTTGCCTTAAGAAAAATAAAGAATTCAGTGCGCTAGAAAGGGTGCGTTCACATTTGAGCACAGAGTACACGCACGGCTGGCTGTACTTTGTGCTCATAGGTAAACACACCCCTTCTGGTGCATTGGATTCTTCATTTTCCCTGTGATGATCCTTGCCTCAAGAAAAACCAAGAACTCAGTGCGCCAGAAAGAGTGCTTTTACATTTGAGCACAGAGCACACGCACGGCCGACTGTACTTTGTGCTCAAATCTTTGTAAACACACGCTTTCTGGGGCACCGAATCTTTAATTTGCTCAGAACTTCCGTGTAAACGCCTCCTTTCTGGCGTACTCGGCTGAATTTAGTGCGGCATTTGAGCATTTGCAACATTTAGTGCGTTTAAAGCTAAAAATACACCAACAACCAGCAAATACCTGAGCACGTACTTTGTGCTTTCCAAAAGTCTCTAATCTAACACACCAGAGCGAGTCTAGTGCACCAGAAAGCACGCGTTTACATAAAAAAAAAATCGAATAGATTGAAAATTGTCAGATAAAAAAAAGGAAAATCGTTGAGTCAATAAATTTTTTTGAATTTTTGAATTTTTTTGATTTTTTTGATTTTTCAATTTTTTCAAACAAAGAAGATTATCATAAATTTGCTGAATAATTGAAAAAAATGTTTAAAATGTTAAAAATCTTTTTAAAAAGCTGCTTTTTTTGAATCTGAAAAGGAAAGGATTCAATTTCACAAAGAAAAAAAAGCCCTAGTTGCCATATAAAGACGGATTTTGATTCCAATTCCAATTCCAATTCCTCATTTTGATCAAGAACTTTCCTACTCGAGTTGCGGCTACAAAATCCCCCCATATTGTTTAGCGATCCTGTTTTCGTCTACTGGGGTTTTTTTTTTTTTTGATTGTCGCCTTGAGTATTTACGGTAGTGATCTTGGCTTTGGGGCTTGAATAGAAAGTATTCGAAAGTTCGATTGGATTATCCACATTTCCTTTGTACCAGCTTCAAAATTGAGCCACCTTTCGGACTCGGCAAAGAGACAGTTCTCTGACCAAATCTAGCAAATAAACAAAGCATAAAACTGAGATCATGTCATATTTTGGGATGCTAATTTCTAGTTCATTACATTTGATTGTGCCTCTCTACATTGAATGATTGAAAAAAATGTTTAAAATGTTTAAAATGTTAAAAAATCTTTTTAAAAAGCAGCTTTTTTTAAATCTGAAAAGGAAAGGATCGAATTTTACAAAGAAAAAAAGGCCTAGTTGCCATATATAGACGGTTGTTTCTCATTTTGATCAAGAACTTGCTACTCGAGTAGCAATATTGTTTAGCGATGTTGTTTCGTCTATATTGTTATTGTTTAGCGATGCTGTTTTCGTCTACTGGGTTTTGTTTTGATTGTCGGCTTGACGAGTGCCTCTCTACAAGATGTTGAATGATTGAAAAAAATGTTTAAAATGTTTAAAATCTTTTGAAAAAGCTGCTTTTTTTAAATCTGAAAAGGAAAGGATTCAATTTCACAAAAGAAAAAAGGAAATTGATTTAAAATCTTAAAAGAAAAGAAAGAAAAGAAAGAAAAGAAAGAAAAGAAAGAAAAGAAAGAAAAGAAATTTTAGAGGAAAACAAGTAAAGTTTTTGTTGATTTAAAGGAAATTTGTTCAGAAAATGGATGCTTAAAAGAAAAAGAAGAAAAAGAAAAAGGAAAATGTGTTCAGAAATTGGATGCTTAAAAGAAAAAGAAGAGAAAGAAGAAAAAGAAAAAGGGAAAAGGGTTAAGGGGCACTCGTTTTGTTGTAATCTTTTCCACTCCTACATATTGATGTGAATTCGAAAGAAAGGAACGCCTTGAGTTGAATTGAACAAAGGAAATTTAAGAAATAGTGAATGAGAGATTAGAAAAAGGTACACAGCTATTATAAGAAGGTTTGCGGATCGTTTTATGCGATCAAAGTTAACTCTAACGTTTGAAAGCCAGTTGTTGATCTTTTAGGCAGATGTTGATCTTTTTGACAGACTTTAAACACCAATCTTGCCTTAGCTTTGTCAACTAGTTTGAAAATTGTGTCAAATAAGAAATGTAAATTTTCTAAAACCTCTTATAAATTTATTTGTGTAAAACCAAAAACGCAAAGTAGATTTAAGCAAAAAGAAAAACTTATTGCAATGACTGAGCTCGAACTAGGGATCAAAAGAAAGCACAGCTAGGCGCTGTGCTGGCAGCTTATCCACTAGGTCACGAGCTCACGTTTGGGAGCCTCTGAAAAGTCGATATGGTTTAGCAGTGCTGGGTTGGAAGGCCTGAAAGGCGCGATCCGAAAGTATTCCTAGTTAGTAGACATGGTTTTTTAGCAAAATCACGTCGGATGGGATCGGATCGGGCTAGTCCGATCGATTGGACGGATCGGGCTAGCCCGATAGGTCGAACGGATTGGATCGGATCGGATCCAGCTAGCCCGATTGGTCGGACGGATTGGATCGGATCAGATTGGATCGGATAGGGCTAACCCGATCGGTCGGACGGATTGGATCGGGCTAGCCCGATTGAACGGACGGACGGATTGGATCGGATTGGATCGGATCGGATCGGGTCGGATAGGGCTAGCCCGATCGGTTGAACGGATCGGGCTAGCCCGATTGGTCGGACGGATTGGATCGGATCGGATCCAGCTAGCCCGATCGGATCGAGCTAGGCCGATTGGATCAGAACTATCGGATCGGATCGGTTCTGCTCCGATCCGATAAAGCCCAATCCGATAACCATGTCTACTAGTTACTAGATATATTACCAGAGCATTGTTTCTGATTTGTTAGAACTTTTAGATTGTGTGGAAGGGGTCTGCTAGCAGAGAGGTCGGATCGGGCTAGCGGATCGGGCTAGCGGATCGGTCTGATGGATCGGATTAGGGTAACCCGATCGGTCGGACGGATTGGATTGGATTAGATCGGGCTAGCCGGATTGGTCAGACAAAAAGCGAGCGCGCGTGAAAGTGAGAGTGAAAGTGAGTTTAACTTTTTTGCATTTTAGACGTTCTTTGTGGCGCCGCAGGCTTAAGCGCAGGCAGGCGCCGCAGGATTAAGCGCGGGCAGGCGCCGCAGGACTAAGCGCGGGCAGGCGCCGCAGGCTTAAGCGCGGGCAGGCGCCGCAGGATTAAGCGCGGGCAGGCGCCGCAGGACTAAGCGCGGGCAGGCGCCGCAGGCTTAAGCGCGGGCAGGCGCCGCAGGATTAAGCGCGGGCAGGCGCCGCAGGACTAAGCGCGGGCAGGCGCCGCAGGATTAAGCGCGGGCAGGCGCCGCAGGATTAAGCGCGGGCAGGCGCCGAAGGCTTAAGCGCGGGCAGGCGCCGCAGGATTAAGCGCGGGCAGGCGCCGCAGGATTAAGCGCGGGCAGGCGCCGCAGGATTAAGCGCGGGCAGGCGCCGCAGGACTAAGCGCGGGCAGGCGCCGCAGGATTAAGCGCGGGCAGGCGCCGCAGGATTAAGCGCGGGCAGGCGCCGAAGGCTTAAGCGCGGGCAGGCGCCGCAGGATTAAGCGCGGGCAGGCGCCGCAGGATTAAGCGCGGGCAGGCGCCGCAGGATTAAGCGCGCGCAGGCAATATGTTTAACCTAAACCCCAAATTTAATTCATGTTTTAAAACGAATAAATAAAAACTGAATGAAAAAGAATTTCCGGAAAAAATAAAACAAAACACAAATGTTTGCTTAGCATTCAACATGATATTGAGAGAAAAAAAGAGATTCGTGTAAATTCCCAGAATAATAAACAGTTTTAGAGTGAGCTT